GTTTTATCTGAACCAAAACCGGACATAACTTAGCCATAGTTCAAATTCAACATGATAAAGCTATGTTTAATATAAACAAATACATGCGGTTTTTTATCAGTTCAAAACTGGTAACTAGACTAACTGCATGCAAAAACTGCGTCAACAACTTAGATGCAATAAGTCATTTATTAAACGCCATTTCTAAAACGTCTTGAGAAAAAAAAACTTTATTTTACAGATCTAAAGTTGCTCCGGTCCATAGGGATTTTCTTTTTTTTCTAAAGAAACCTGTTGCATATGTTTCTTGTAGAGTTTGCGGTCAATCTGCGCTCGAAGGCCAATTACTGCTAGACCGTGCGAGGTGTTAAGCGCGTGATAATTGATGGCCGACTGATCGCATATCCGAGCGCACAGGCCATCCAGCGCATCCACTTCGCGCACCAAATGACCTGCGTGAAACACCAATTTATTGCCGACTTCCTTTAAAAACGCCAAAATTCTGCTCACTATGTCCATCACCGTTTTTTTCTCTTTTAATCAGCTAGCACAGCGCAGCTATTAGGGCTTTGTTCAGGAGCTATTATCGGCGTTCGATTTACCACCTACTTTGGAATTTCTCAAGAAACCATGCAAAACATTTGTTGGCGGTAAGAAACAACAGCCGTTGTACTGATTAAGTTTAAATTTTGCTTCGCATAGCGAACAATAACACATCACCTACCATTTACATTTTTGTTTAATTATTATTATTATTATTATTATTATTATTATTATTATTATCATTATTATTATTATTATATTTAACCATTTCACAACACCTGTATTTATGCTTTTTGCATCTTCACACAAATGCAATAAAAAAGCAAATCTTCGATAGATCGTGTGTACGTATGTTCAGATCTTAGCCGCTCACATTAAACTTATTAACCGCAGAAGCCAGGAGACTGAAGAGAATGTTCTTAGCCCACGCATTATCCAAATTTTTTAAAATCAATGTTCACGCACGTCTGGGTTTTCGGTGGCATCACCACCACTTTTTCCTCTGCTTTTGGCTATTGAGCATAAAGCAATCACTATCACACCCTTTCAAAAATAACAGTAACCTTGGAGCATTCTACATTAAAAATGCGACGTTAATCTCGCGCGGTCCAGCATCGCTAGCGATCGATCCCAGCAAATTTTAAGGCCCAATGAGAAAAGACTTACCCTTGCCAACGCCACCAAAACTCGGATTGCAGGACATCTCGCCAATCGTATCCGTTCTGTGTGTTATCAGTAATGTCCGGGCTGAGCATCGTGCAGCTGCAGCAGCCGCTTCACAGCCTGCATGCCCACCGCCGATCACAATAACATCATACACGGGCAGCTCATTTTTAACCGCTAGCGCGCTGAACGCTCGTCGAAAAATGCAAGCTTTGGAAGACATACGTAACGAGTCGCAGGCAAAGAATCCGGATATCCCGGAGCTTGTTAACTAAACTGCTTGCATGCCCGCCAAAAATGTCCAGAAGGGAGCGACGAGGAGAGATTCATAAAGCGCTTCCTGAAATCATTTTTTTGACAGAAACTAAAAAAAGAGAACGCAAAAGTCTGATGCAATGCAGCTGCCTTTCGGCAGCTCTCCAAATAATCACTGGAAGCTTGGCACC